GGCTTTCGAGATCCTGTTGGCGACTTCGTCGTCGATCTTGGTGTTGCGGGAGAGCGTGCTGCCCAGGTACGGGAAGTTCTCTACCACTTGTAGTTGAGTCCCATTCACGTTGATTTGCGGCGCGTTGGGGGCTGTGGCTGAGCTGGGAGGCGGCTGATGCATCACCACCGTCTTCTGCGTGTTGATAACCAGCCCAAAGTTCTCGCAGGCGGCGGAGAATAGATTCATGCTCCGTTGCATCTCCACTTCTGAGGTGGTGTTCAGGGCGCAGTCGTCGGCGAAGAGGAGTTCGTGCACGGTGGCTGTGGATACACGCGATTGGAAGTTCATGCGCCGGCGATTCAGGAGATGACCGTCCGTTCTATAGGCGATGCGGATTCCAGGGCGTTCGTCGCGGTAGGCGTCCATCAGCATGGCAGAGAACATGAGACTGAAGAGGGTAGGCGCCAGCACACAGCCCTGCTTCACTCCGTTGGTCACTGCGAATGCCTCTGAGACAGCTCCGTTGTCCGTGACTCGCGCCAACATACCGTCGTGCAGCTGACGCACCATCTGAGTGAATCGCTCCGGACAGCCGAATTTCTGCATGATCTTCCACAGTCCTTCACGATTCACCGTGTCGAAGGCTTTCGTCAGGTCCACGAAGGTAGAGTGCAGGTGGGTCCGCATCTCCTGGCACTTCTCTTGAAGTTGGCGGGCGACGAAGATCATATCCGTGGTCCCACGATGACGACGGAAGCCGCATTGGCTTTCCGGCAGGAGGCCCCGTTCCAGATGGTTGTTGAGGCGGTTGAGCAGGATGCGAGCGAAGATCTTCCCGGCGATGTTCAGTAGGGAGATGCCGCGGTGGTTGTCGCAGACTTGGCGATTCCCTTTTCGCTTGTATAGGTGCACGATAGTTGCGTCCTTGAAATCTTGCGGGACTTCGCCTTGACGCCACATCTCCTGGAAGAGCGCAGTCAGGTGATCCATCAGTAAGGGACCTCCGTGCTTGTAGACCTCAGGAGGGATTGCGTCCGATCCGGGTGCTTTCCCGCTGGAGAGCTGCTGCACGGCCCTGATCGTTTCCTGGAGAGATGGCGGGAGGTCGAGGTCCGCGTTGGTCGCCACTTGCGGCAAGCGGGCGATGGCGGCTTCGGAGATGACGGAAGAAGTTCTTCCATTCGTTGCGGTCCGCGTACCCTTGGATCTCCTCAGCTTTGCGAGCAGTCCAGGCGTCCTGCATCTCGCCCAGTCGTTGCTGAAGCTGTCGGCGACTGCGGTAGAAGGCAGCTTTGTTGCCCTCAGTTGGGTGCTCTACGTAGGCTTTGTGTAGTCGGTTCTTCTCGGCAAGCAGATTTCTGATGGCAGCGTCGTTGTCGTCGAACCAGTCCTGGTGTTGGCGGGGAGCGCGACCGAGGACGGCGAGCGCCGTCGACTGGACTGTGTCACGCAGTTGACACCAGTGGTTCTCCACGGAGGCGTTCTCGGCAGCGGCGGCGGCGGCGGCGGCGTCGTCGGCGGCGGCAGCGATAGGAAGGTTGTCTAGCCGTTGAGCTAGCTCATTGCTGAAATGGAGACGGTGAGCAGGCAAAGACAACAAAGCAACATTCAGCTTACCTGGGGGTCGCTTACCTTGTGGTCTCCTGCGAGGCTGTAGGCGAAGACGCATCTTCGAAATGACGAGGCGATGGTCGGTCCACCCGTCAGCACCCGCGATCGCCTTCGTCACCAGCACGTCCCGCTGATCTCGCCTCCGGACGAGGACATAGTCCAGCAGGTGCCACTGACGCGACCGAGGATGCCTCCAGGTGGCCTTCTCTCGCGCCGGCAGACAGAAGAAGGTATTCGTCAGGGTGAGGCGGTGTTCTGCGCAGGTGCGGAGGAGAAGCAGGCCGTTGTCGTTGGAGCCACGGAGACCGTGGGGACCCAGCACTCCCCTCCAGGCAGTATGGTCTGTGCCGACGCGGGCGTTGAAGTCACCAAGGACAATCAACTTGTCCGCCTTCGACACAGTCGCCAAGAGGGCGTGCAGGTCCTCGTAGAATTTGTCTCTGACGGCGTCGGGGTTGGTCATCGTCGGAGCGTAGGCGCTGATGATGGTGGCGAATTTGCCTTTCCAGAGAGGCAGGCGGAGGCTCATCAGGCGATCGTTGATGCCCTGCGGCAAACAGGGAAGTCGTCCCGCGATGTCGGTCCGGATGGCGAAGGCGACGTCCGCGTCTCGTCGCTCTGCCCTGGGTCGGCCACTCCAGAAGAAGGTATAACCGGCACCCACCTCCTCCAGTTGGCCTTGTTCGGAGAATCGGGTCTCGCTGAGTGCGGCGATGTCCACCTTGCAGCGCGCCAGTTCTCGTGCCACTAGCGCCGTCCTCCGTTCCGGTCGGTTGCTCCTCGGATTGTCTAAAAGGGAACGAACATTCCAGGCTGCCAGAGTGAGCGGGCTCACCCTGTCAGTCTGGGGAAAACGAGTGGGGCGATGGGAAGGAGGTGGAGAAGAAAATGACGAAGGAGAAGTAGAGGCAGAAGAATAGACGGAGGTAGAGGTAGAAGAGGTAGGATGAGGAGAATGAGTATGGTTGTTGTTGTTGTTTCGAGTTTGATTGTTTCGACCGTGAGTTTTGCGTCTGCGACCACGGTGCGCCAGCAGACGACGTGGTTCCCCAGCAATTTTTAGGCCAGCTTTTCCAGGTCCCCCCGAAGGAAGCAGTGCCCTGACCCATGAATAGGGGCTGCTTGATGTGCCGGCGCGGCCGAACTCCACTGTGGGCCACGAGTTTTTTTGGCAGTGGAAGAACGACTCGAATTTGCCAATGGCTTACGGCATTGCCGCAAGCCTGCGGTCTCCTATGGTGCACCAGATGGGCGCGTGTCGACGGTGCCAATTCGGAGATCCATCCAACCGGCTGACCAATGGCGTACCAGGCGGAGCCTCGTCTAGACGATGTCGATGCGACGTTCCACCACCAACCGGCTGACCAGCGGTGTGTCAGACAGAGCCTCGTCACGACGGCGCCGACGCGGTGTTCCATCCGACCAACCGTCCACGGAGTCCGCAGTCACCTGTGCACGCGGCACAACGCGCACAGGGAGTAACTGCCCTCACCTGGTTTAGCTCGCCGGTCGAGACGGTTGCCCGGGGTGTGGCCTCTGAGCAGAGCCCAGCTACGTGGAGCCACAGGTGAGAGTTGAGTGCCAGCAAGTGGACGCTAGGCGTAGTCTCACCTGCAAGCAAGTGAGCGACCACTACGACCTTCACGTGAACCCACCGCTGACAACCCTACACCCCTCCTAGGTCACTAGTGGTTAAAGCACGTTTGAGGGGACGGAGCCGGAATAAAGCCCTAGTCCAACGCAAGAGGAAAAAGTGGCCACACAGGCTACAGCAGGCCAAATTTGCTATAAAATGTAGGGATTCCGTCCGCTGGTCAATCAGTTTGTGGCGCGTCCTCGCGTAAGTGTGATCCAGTAGATGTACCGATAGGTGTCCATTTGTAAGAATTCTGAGTACAAAGCTTGGGAGCAGTAAAGCAGCCTACTCGTATCTCCTTTCCTCCACGAAAAATGGGGATCGCAGACAACCATCATACCACGCATGGCATTGTTCGGTCCTCTCATGGTTAGATCACTCTGAAAAAAGTCAACGTGGCAAATTGGCGAATAACTTCAGGCCTGACATCACATAACTGTGCGCACGGAAAATATATTTTATTTTAAATAACATATCTAGACGTCCAGCTGAACGTTGAATCTACTGGATAACGTCGATCAAGCTTTCTTATTGATAACAAGATATATGCTGGAAGATGGAGTAGAACGAAACGACGTTCAAACCGCCATTGAGATTTTGCCGCAAATCAAGACATTCGCGCGAAATTTACCTTCCCTTGAATCGCCCACTGCATCCAAACTTCATTGGTCAACAGCACTTTATATGCCATAGTAATTATTTACTGTAAATTTCTCTCTTCAAAATGCCCATAATGCAACAACCAAAGAACACTATTAGTGCGTCAAGTAACCACTGCGGGGGAGATTCGTTCGCACGTTTTGTCGAGATGTCTTTTAAATTGGGTCTATAGCGTGCTGGATATTTTGAGTTGTTTTTTTGTATTTCTCGATATCAGGTCCTCGAAACTACCTCACCTTATCTTCCTTTCTCAAATTACATATACAGAAACACTGTTTCTTATGTGCTGCAAATAGATTCCACTACGAATCTATATTCCGAATGCCTTAGAGTGATTTCGTTTTCTTTGCGAAGGTCTGCCAGAAACGAACCTGAGCTGTTCTGCTCAACACGATGAACTTCGACGGAAGACGTTTCGTGGTTTTGTTTTTTCTTGAGTAATTTAATTACAGTTACTTTTGATGGACTATGTCAAGTAGAGTTTCAGAACCCCCACTTCCACACAGACCATTCGATAGAAACACTTTAAGAGGACACAGTTTATGGCCGTAACTAACAATTAAGTATGTGCATGTGGTGACCTTATAAAAAATTTTCCATCACTAACGTCTTCGGCACTAAGTGTGTGCGAATTATTCATTTTGTAATGGTAACCCAGTTTTTAAAATCGATAAACAGATTCAATACACCAGAAACGCCACTGAATGAATTTCCTGATCGACGATCCCACTTCAGTGACGGACTTGATACTCCATCCGAGACGGCATTCCCAAAACTGCCCAAAACCCACGTAACCGTCGCAGCAGTAGGCGCATGAGGTGTTCTCGAGATCCGTAAAAAAACACAAATGGGCACTTAGCTGTGATGGGACGCCGACGGGTCTTTAATAAAAAATTATTATACATAAGTTACACGATAAGCCACAGTTGACGGCGTAAGAAGTAGCAGAAATCCCAGACGTGAATTTCGCGGATATTCCATTGCTGCAGGACACAGCTGAGAGGGGTTCAGCTAATTAATAGGTTGTACAGCGTTCCCTGTGTGCTTTCTGGTAGATACTCTAGTTTTGAAGTTGCAGCTTTTTAATTTCCTTAGAAATCGATAGCTAATGTAGAGTAAATCTGTGTGTTTGACTCGTGTAAAGGTGCGGCCGCTTACTTTTTCCGTAGGTTCAAGTATCTCCAGAGTTGCGTTTTTGGATTCCGCGAGGGATTGGCTGCTTCGATCGCAAGCAAAGTAAATTTGACGAAACGCGCACTTCGCACAGCCCAAAACACCAAAAATGAATGCATAAGCATGATGGTGACTGCTTAACCCAAACAAAGAGCGCAAAAGGCCGCCAAAAACAGGAAACTGATAATTTTGGTGGAAATACAACGGCAAATAAGACTTTACTGCTGCCATGCCTAACTGACCACCGCAAACACCTTCCGTTAGCTGTCCGTTAATCATCTTTACAGGCAGATGGTTCTCTGGCAGCAAACAGCTGTGAGAAAACCTGAAGTTTTAGATGACTGTTTGAGGTTTCTAAAAAGGTGGCCTCGTCTAAAATTGAGTTTGGTGATTGTCAATATTGTGGTAAGTAAAGTAGCATACAATTTAATGCAAACTTCATAAATAATATAAATCAAAGTACTTTACGTCGACAGCGAAAGATAGCTGAGCATCCACAGCACGCGACGACCATGCCTTCTGGCCGCGTTCCTGTAGACGATCGTACTCCTACGGAATTCTCATGTTCCTTTACCACGGAAATCAGCTCTTCGCAGTTGTTTAAAGGCCGTTTTGCATTTGTCTCCTAACATGGGCACGCAGAAGGAGGGTTCAATCTTCTGATACAACACACACGTTAAGAAGCGGAGAATAAACAAACTTTTTGGAGAACTGGGACTCAGCCAATGAAGGCCCAGTAAGCCGTGCTCCTCAGAAATTCCTACCGTTTCGAAATTTACGCCGGCGTAGAGCAATGGTTTTGGATCAATTAAGAGTGCATTACCGCGATTCCATCCCTCTTTCTATAAGTCATATCCAAAAGCATATAGCATGTATGGGCTGGCAACAGCAGCTGTTTTCCTAAAAGTACGCCAGCCTTTACATTTCTTACTTGAATGTACTTCTTACTGGAGTCCTCCGCGTAGATCAATGACTGGAAGTATCGCCCAAGCACAATTTCGCGGGACTTCAACTCAACAAAAAGCTCCGGCACCGTCGTAATTCACATGAAAAAGTTCAACGAATCCCCTGATTGTCTGCGGAAGCATTCCGCAAAATTTGCTGGTTACTCACTGGGCCGCGCGGATTTTGCTTGGGGACGCGCAATGTAAAATAGTTATTCAGTTAAACAGTCCTTTTATTTCTTTTTAAACGTTTCTGTTTTGTTGACGTTATCCTTCTTCTAGTTCTTTTTGAAAGACTTTAGAAGATATTGACTTTGGAATATTTTTAAACGTGTTAATTAGTGAATATTCACACTTAACATATGTTAAGTGTCTAGCTATTAGAATGCCTGTTTTGTCCTTTTTCTTCGTCGTCATTTCTCACTTACACTATAGCGACTTTGAAATTTCGAATCGCATTCGTAGAGTCGCTTTTTATTAATGACCATTCTAGGATGGTTATGTGGTGACATTTTTTAAGTGGCAATTCTTGGAAATTCACAAAACATATATACATATAATGAGTTAAAATTTGGACATAGCAGTGCTTACTTAAAGTGAATATATATCCACATAAGCCGTTCTACGGCTGTGATAGGGACCGGCTCGAGGATTGTCAACGTTTTCATCTACCTCGTCTAAAGATGGCTATGCATCCACAATGCGTGACGACGATGCCTTCTGGCTGCGCTCCCGTGGACGATCGTACGCCTTCGGAAATGCACTTTTAAATGCCTTTTCCAGTTGTTAACGACCGGATCTTTGGTCAGTATTTCACCTAGTGAAGACATCTATTGTATATGAACAAAGGGATGTTTGTCACACTGATGACTGGGACGTAGAGGGTGCAGCTGCAGAAGGCCCCTTTCCCCTGTTGCTCATTTAGGGTGGCCATGCGTTTAATCATGGGTCCCACAGACGTTGGCGTGGGCGTGGAGCTGAAGCAACACGCCCGCGCAGCCATCCTTTCAGATACTGCGTCAATCTTCAAATTCGACTCGTCAACATTCGCCTGTTTTGTAAGCAATTTTGCACGAGCCATCAAAGGCAGGCCCTTAGCCTAGATCTCTTCCCGTGTGACGATGCATGAATGCGTTAGGCTACTGAAAGAGACGGATATTATACAATGTCGAACTCTGCGGAAGACGAAGAGACTTGGGGTATATTTTGTGCAGTCCATATGTTCTTACCGTATGGCTTCTTAGCGTCCCATTTGGGACGTTTGTTGTTATGTGGCCTTTCTTCGTCAGACACCGTACTCTACAATCAAGCAGGTCCTGAATGAACGTACTTACCACTGGCCGTTGTCGTTACCGTTGCCGCATTGCTTGCCCCACCCAACAGCTTTCGCGCGTCAGAGGGCGGGTCCGTAGGTAGTCGCCTAATAATCTTGAGAAGACTCGTCAGATGAATAAGGGTTGTGTGCGAGTGTATTGCCCACACACGCAGAGCATCTCGTACTATCGGTTCCTCTTCACTTGACAGGGTTCTTGTTGATTTCTTGGACGCTGTGTTCGATGCCACAACCACCAAACTAGTCTCTTCGTCAGAAGAGGAAATGTCGGTGTCGGTTGACAATCTGTGGGAAGAAGAATCACGCCACAAAGATGGCGGTGAGTCGGACGGATATATTACACTCGTATTCTCAGCAATTTGGCTTTTATGTTCATTGACCACACGATCCGCACGTCTCTTAAATGTTTTCTTTGATATTCTCGTCCGCATACCAAAAGCGGTATAAAAAGGGTTGGTGTGCAGGGCCAAGGAGGAGATCAATATGAAGCAAGATATTGCCCGCGCTCAGCAACGTGAAAAGGCAGGAATTGGCGGGCAAGAGCGCGCGCAAGTGCAAGCTCATCGTCCTATCGGTTTGCCAATAAGCATGCGTGCATTGGTGACGCGATCGTTAGGGGCAGTATCAAGCAATTAATTATCAGCAACGATTGGAGGACGGGACACTAATTAAGAATCGTCTTACTTTGCTATTAGGGTAGAACCTCCGTCTCCGACTGTATTTAACTTATGTACCCTGCCAGCTCTCTGCCAAATGTTCTTTAAGTCGCTCCGGAAAATTTTCAGCGGGCAATAAAGGCAGACACTCAGGACCCCGTCGAACACATGGTTCGACCTCGATGCCTTCGCTTGGAATGTTATCGCCGCAAACAGATGCTCATGTGCTTATAACGCATACAATATCCTGCGCTCCCCTCGTTTCGCAAACGCCCACAACATTTACGGTGTTGATAATAGTAGTTATACAGCAGACTGAGTTCAACCCATCCCAGAAGTCAGTTTTAGAACCAGTCAAGCAGGTTATAATCCTGACAGATCAGAAGTAAAAGTTTATTACGTGATAAGAGTATTAATGTGCTTAATAAGGCCGCGGGAATAATATTGAGGTTACGGGCAAATACAAAGCTTTTTGACTTATTGTTCGTTACTACCCTCTGATCCGTCGATTGACTAGCATATCTACATCAGTTCGCAGGCGGTAGGGAGACAAAAGGGAAGATAGAGCAGGCGGCAACTACTGCTGTGGGACACGCTCTTCCGTGTTTGGATACGTAGACCAAGTACAGCAATTCGCATAGATATTTAATGCAGAATCTTCTGATTCAAAACAAAACTTAGTGAAACATCAATTAGTTTACCTTGGTTTCGGCCAAAGTGAACATCACCTTTCGGCCAAAACATACCGTCGGCGTGCAAGTCGCCTCGGAAGCTTATTGATAGCCTTCACGGACTATTCACCTCCCGGATGCTCGCGATTGCTATTAGTATAGTCAGGTGTCTTAAGTTCCCGCCAGTTTGTAAAACTATCACGGCACGTTTCTGCCGGCATCTTCTCACGTCCACAAAACGTCTTACTTGTACTTAGTACGGCTGCGATCATGCCTGATCTAGCCGGCCTCGATGATGTCCCGAACTGTACATCTCCACGCCTGGTGATCCGCGGCGGCAAATCTGGACAGCTTAACCCATCCTCTTCGCAAGTGACGGAGACCGATTACCAAAGGTCCAAGAACCACTTCCATGTCTTTACGAACTGTGTCGAGCCAGGTTTTCAGTTGACTCCCTCTTCGACGCCTGCGATAGCGTAACAATGCCGGATCGAAGGCAGTAACACAGAATTCCTGAAGTGGACGCCGAAAAACATACTCAAAGCACCTCAGTAGTCTTTCTTGGATGGCCTGGATTATCCTTGCTATGTTGTCGCAGCGAGCGCGGACTGTCTCATTTGAGACGAGGTCGGTGTAGTTCACTAGAAAGATGACCCTTGAGCAGTGGTGGTCAAATACCCCCAATTTTCGCTCGTCCTCCACGCGCACAGTCCAGCATTCGCAACCATAGAGAAGGACAGACCGGATAGATGCACGCTACAGGCGAATATTAGTCCTAGTGGCGATGGAAATGCCGCATCGGATCCATAGGCACTTTCTAAGGCTTGAGAAAACCCGGTGGGTAGCATCAGTTCGGAAGACAATGTGGTCCTTACTCTGTCCATCCGGCAGTGGCCTCGCCCAGGGTATTTAAAACTGTCTACTTCAAGTTGGCAACCATTAATCCAGAGATGTGCCTTCTCCTGGTCAGGGATGCAGCTTGAGAACACTCTGCCCTTCCCAGCATTTATGGATAAGCCGACCAATTTAGCGACCTCGTTCACCCGTGACACCGTAGACTGCAGATCAACAAAACTTGAGGAAAGTAAGGCAATATCATCGGCATAGTCGAGATCAGTCGGTCGCTGTCGGGGTGCAAACTCAACGCCGTCATCTTCGTGTAGGGCCCTCCCGACAATCCAGTCAATACGTAGCTGAACAGAATGGGGGACAGGATACAACCCTGTCGAACACCAGACCGAATACCGAACGGTTGGGAAAGATTGTTATGGACCAGAACTCGCGCAGTGGTGGAGCTGTAAGAGGCCTTGATCATGGCGATGACTTTTGGCGGTACACCATCCAGTGCTATTATCCGCCACAGGAACTCACGGTGGACGGAATCGAACGTGGTGGCAAAGTCAGCAAAGCAAACGGCCGTCAGTCGCTGGTAGCTGTAGCAGAATTCGAGAATCCGCTTCAGTGTGTATACCTGGCCCGTTCATTCATTTTCAGCTCGGAATCCGGTTTGGTTGGGGCTCGTCGTAGAGTCACGTACAGCCTAGTATTGCCTGATTAGGACAGTAGCGAAGATTTTCGCAGCAACTTCGATGAAGATTATGCTGCGATAGTCCTCGCATCTTGTATTATCTCCCCTCTTGAGGATAGGTGCAGGGATGCCCGAGCCCCAGTCATCAGGAGCGAGCTCCTCTCTTCACGGTTGCCCAATCCCCTCACGGAGCCAGGCCGCCAGAATACCGACACGAGACTTGTAGATTTCAGCAGGTATACCGCCCTCTCCGGGAGCCCTGGTGTTGCGTAGTCTTTGTATAGTATCAGAGACTTCTCCTTCAGAAGGGGGTCGCATCACATTGCATGGGTTGGAGAGGGAGGAGACTCCGCTGCAGGGGAGAGCAAGGTTGTTGGTGGATTTCGTATCGAAATTGAGATGGTGCTCGAAGTGCTCACTATACGAAAAATTGCCTCTAACTTGTAGCTGGGACCGCAACAAGCACACAAGATGGAGAGGACGAGCAAATATGGATGCAAGAGTCAGAACGAGAATACCCTATAACATGGCCTTATTCATCTTACAATTGACGTACTAGAACTAAAACGAGAAATAGTAAAGTAGTAGATAAGATGGAATTTAGCCAGGGGCTCATGTTAGCATGACACTAAGCCTTGGTCGTTGCTGGTCCAGTCGCTTGAAAGTATGTGAATGTCGGACTTTAGCCACTGGCACGAGAGGACGCTGAGAACCCCCACGTTCACAGGGGTGCTGTTCAACTCCTCGTCTTAATCTTCACCCACAGGTCTATCGTATCTGCTTTACACTTTTAACTGAACGTTTCTTTAACGCGAGTTAGACACACAGGGGGAATGCCAGCACGCGCCCTTACCATTTGTTATCCAGCTTCCACACTGTTTGCCGTATGTGCGCGTCCGTTGCTAATATTTTGGATACATTTCAAAAAAGCAGTGTCCAAATTCACGAGGATGCTATCGACCAGGAAAGCCGTTTAATATGTGATTATCAGTAACCAAAGATTATTTCTGAATTCACCGGCCTCTGTGCGAAAAGGTTTGCATCCGTAAACTTAGCGACGAAAATCTGTATTGTCCCAAAGACTAAGTGGTGATCTAGCACCAACAGCCAAATATCCAGGAAAGGCGTGCAATTTGAAGTGTGTGGTATTTGGTTACAGAACATTCGCCTACTTGATTAAGTGGGGCCCAGGGTTTGGAGAGCAAAACAATAAAAAGGAAAGGGTTTGATGTCTCAATCTTGCCGGTTGCGGTTAATTTCAAAACTAGGATCCACTTTAAAATATAAGCAGGCAGGAAGACTTAGTTCTTAAAATCTGCTCCTTAATCTTCGCTTATAGCGGAAGTCAATATTGCTTTTTAAATTGTCTTAGTCGTACCTGCGAACCTGCTATTCGGAAGCACCAATACCCTCCTACGTTAGCGCGCGCTTTGCTAAAAACTATCCTTTTTATTGGGTTTTGACTCATTACTTTTGCGGACGTTAATTGGTAGGCGTCTGAGAATCTTAGCTACCACTTCTGATTGCCTCGGCGGTTTACTAAACGCCGTACAAGTCAAATTGTTTTGCCATCTACTAAACACCGCATAACTCAAGTTGTTTTCCCACTTACGGTAATTTGGCCAACTTGTAGTCATATCTCTGGAGTCAGTCTGTCTTCTGCTAAACCCTTTCTTAGTCATCTTATAGATTTATTAGGACGACGGTCGAATTTACAGGTCGTAAAAAGCACTTTACTTAACTATTCGCGGATTTTATCCTATTGCATATTTTCGTAAAAGCTTGTTCCACCATATGTAAACGTTTTAACCAGGTGTAGATAGCTACTGACTGCATCACAGTAGCCTCATAAATTGATCCAAGTAAAAGCTATCGCTATTTTGCCTAGGTCCTCCCCCTCCTCAAATACTGACACCTCGCGAGCTGCTCCGGTGACGGCTGTTCCATCCGAACGTAACCTTTTCTCGTCGAGCATTGTGTTGGCCCAGTACTCCTTCACCCTTCAACTCCTCCTCCGTGTTATCACATTTGCTTTGAATGGACTCGCCTTTCGCCATCTTGACGCCGGCATACTGGGAATTGTTAACTTTCGCCTAGGTCTTTACTACTCAACTGTTGTGTTTGCTGCCCGCGAATCTTTCCGGAGAGCCTGTCTCAGTAGAGGTGGTGAACTGCTCTCTCAGCGGATGTTCGGAGACGGTCCATCTCGGCGCAGTGAACGCCAACGCCTGTGGCACGGACTCCTCAATGTAATGTGGTTGACGTACGTTAGAAGTACCCGCTGCACCAGACCCCGGGCCGTCTCATGAAATCTCAGTCAGACATTTACGCTCATGTTTTTTACTAATTTTTAGTGTTCCCGCCGGTCTTCTCATGATCCTCATCCTCCTGCCTGTTTGGCTCTTTGTTTGGCCCTCACCGACTCTGGATAAAACAGCCCTTACGATCGACCCGACTGTGTTGACTCGTCAGTACACTGTGTCAGCCCTCGTGTACTCTCTTTCGGCTCTTTTGGAGCTGGCCACGGAACCCCTGTGGTTGGTATGCCAATTGGGTCTGTTTGTCCGCAGTCGAATAGCTCTCGAGGCTATTGCCAATATTTCGCGAGCCATTGGCATCGTTGGTAGTGTGATCTATTTGCCAAAAACCTATGGCCTTTACCTGCTGGCTTGCCCTCAGGTGAGAAATCGGTTGTCTGTAAAGCTGGCTTTATGGATTTGGTTATTTCCATTAGTCCGCAATATCACCAAAATTGCTACTTAACATACAGTCGACCGTTTGGTCTACGTTTCTCAAGCAGACCATTTTTCTTTATGAATACAAACCATACTGCTGGTTGGATAGTCCTAGACAAGGTCGGCTCCAACCTAACCTCCAGTTAGAAGAGAACGAAGGCAACTTATGACTGACCAAACCTCGGCTTTCAAAGGCGATTTTCGCTGTCTAAGTTGTCCATGATTCGTTGACCTACTTGGAGCCCTGTCATTTGCACTCTCTTCACTAGACACGTGTGGAGGGTGTCAGCGCAGATCACTGTTCACGTCTTCGACTGGAAAGCATTTAAACTAGTGGTTCCATTAGCGGCAGTTTCGGTAAAATTCCTGAGTCTCGTTCTCCCAAATTGCAACTTCGCGCCTCCGTCTTTTTTTCACAGATCCTATCATTTGTTGGAGTAGATCCCCCTGACCAAAATCGGTTCAGCCCCAAAAACTATTCGCCTCACAATCAAAAGGCCGTTAAGTATAAATTTTGAAAGCCATGGATAGCAGTTCTTCCACTGTTCAGTCCGACCAGGCGCCCGCTGTAAGCCTTAATTGTTCGCTTATACACCAGGAGATTTATTCCGCCTGCGAAATTCGTGGTTGGCTACTAGAACATGACTCAACCTATGTTCCGAAAGATTACCGAAAATCATTGTATACTATGTGATGAAGATCATGAAATGTTAACTCATGCATTTGGGCATGCTTTCATGTGAACGAACTTGTTTAGGACAGCATGCTGAACTAGTTGCTGCGGTGGGCAGTCTCAAAAGCGTCGCCCTTGAGTAAGCGCCCCTGATCCCAATAGAATCTTTCTATAGGTATGGATCACTCTGTACGCTTTGAAAGCAACATTTGTCAGTTTCTGTTATCGAACTGCATGAATAATCCGCAAATTTCGTTAAAAAAGAGCTTTGTATGAGTAGGTTCGTCCTGTAAAATACTAGAATTCCAGGCCCAGACCGGGCGCGTGTATGCGCGCATCAGTTCCATTGAGACATGATTGACTCCTATCGAGATCACGAATGCCTCAAAGCCTGACTCTTGGTGAGAATTGGCATCAGTAAGCAGGTCGACTTGACCTTATGCTACGAAAATCTTCGTAAACGTCTGACAAGTGACGACTCGAGCGAGAACTGCAGTCCTGTGGGTATAAGAGACTAGCGTCTTTTGGCGTCTCGTTGCACGCATTTATATGAACAGTAACTGTACAGTAACGTAGAGGCTTGGCCTATCATCCGCTTGCTCCGTGGTAATGTAATAACTTTCGCCATATTTATAATGATCTGGGTAGTGCACCTGTTGCAAACGTCGGTCTGTCAAATAGAAAATGGTCACATCCAAAGTAAGAGGGCCAGGATACCTGTTCCACTTTCCTCATCGACAATTTGTGCGGCAATTTCGATTGAATTGAATCAACTTGACCTGACATATTTTCTTCTATTGCACAAACTTATAATTCGGAACCGACACGTAAGACAGCACGGACCTTGAGAATTTGTCCTGTCACGGAGGGTGCCAATTATTTTGCTGGCGCCATGTGACGAATGAGTTATTAATTCTACAGGACAGACGGGAAGTAGTTAAGCAAAGAAGAATCTTTCTATTTGGCGGCTCCCCAGCCGTTTTCTATGCACATTTTACATTCAGACTGCGATGAACAGTTGCAGTCATTCATTTGGTTGGCGTATTCTTGCATCGTTAGGGACGCACACTAAACAATTAAGCGTTTCGGGTTCTCAGTCCTATAAGGGGATTTTAGTTCCTACTGAAGATATTATGTGTAAAACCATTGGAATGGGAATAGAAGTTGGCAACCCATCGGTGATAGGCAATAAGGACTAAATCACTTTGTTGTACTCCGTCCCCCATCACCTGGGTACGTGTTCTCATGCCAACCAATGAGAGCGTCAGCTGACGCTCGCATCTACTCACAAAATCATAAGCAGGCCTTCGCTAACAGGAGTTACGGGAAAAACAACATGGGAAATGCTGATAGGCTCATCGGATAGGCACCGGATCCTCCGCAGTTACAGAAAGAAGCAACAGCAAGTCGGCGAAGCGCGTCTGTGCTTTTGCTTACTCTTTTAGGTTGGCAATGGGGCGGGACAGTTTTATGTAAGCAGAACTGACTACAGAATGATGTCCGAAATCTCGGTTCTACCTCGCGGGCCGATAACTGATAGGTGTCGAGTCGTCTTGGCAATGGATGTAACACGTGTAATTAAAAAATACCGACTTAGATCCCGTCGAATTCCAAGTCCATCTTCAAGCTATCCTGGCTCGAGAGCTCTTTGTTTGGAGAAGCGTGGACTCTCGGCTACCCACTTTCAAATTAACATGTCCTCATTACCTGACCCTACCGCGTGCAACCGCGACTCTGCTAACGCCTCTACATGTAGTTTGTTATTTTTCGTCCAGATTCTCCATGGAGCCACTCTCCTCCTGGGCTACGTCTTATTCTTTACATGGACGCTTTCACAACGACAGCGTGACCCTTCGTTCGGCGTCCTCCCCATTGCATCTACTAGTGACCTGCTGCCAAATTTCTCTGAAGTAATTTCGGTCATTCGTACTTCTGTTGACCTTTCACACGTCATTTATTAACTCGGCTCTTTTTAGCTTCGTCACTCTTTGCTTTTTTGTCCGTATAGTTTTTTTCCTCTACAGGCTTCCTTTGACGGTCCGTGCCTAAAGTTGTCCTGGGGCTTCTTCCGTCAGGGCTTGCTCAAGCAGTTTTTGACCGAAGGTGAGCAGATCCGCGGTTGTGAACGTTTTTGCCATGATAACTAGCAGGAACGGGGTCGTTTGTCGGCTGAATAGGGCGTCATTGTCGTTTGCAATATTCAAAAGGCGATGCCTTCGAGAAATCAAACGACCCGCCTCTGCTGCTTTGTCATACCAACAATATCCGCCACATCGTCGTGGGTTTGCCGTTTATAAAGCCGATGCACAAGTTATGCTCTCAGCATCCCCACTGATATGCGGTTTCAAAATTATGGAATGGGCATGAAGACATGGTTGCCTATGCACGGTCGAATTTCGTTCTCAATACGCCTTACCGATAAGAATGTACGAGGTGAGACCTACATTCATAGCATATACCGTTTTGTTCTTCTTGTTCATTGTCGAAGGCAGGACTGATTGCGAATATCGAAAACACTGTGTGCACTCTCCTTTTTCACTTGGGCCGCAAACTCTCACGCAGAAGTGCCCGAGTAGTGTTTTTTCGAAATATTGAATATTCCCTCAATAATTCGGTGGGGATGTCACCGAACTTTACTCATATTCGAGTTTATCCGAGCAAACACATTCCGTTCAGGAGCGATAAACTCTAAGCAGGTACAGCCATGAGATCTCAGTCATCCGGTCAAAAACTTCTACCAAAAGTGTCATGTGGGACTGAAATATTCAATGTATAGGAAGTATCTTGGATACTTTTCGATACTTTAATTTCGATTCACGTCACCTTACCCGGCTTTCAAGTTCGGCCTTACACATTGTTTTTTTATGGCGTTATTGTAACCAAAAGGGAGTTCAAAGGCGCTCGCCTACCTTTCCTTTAATAAATCTGATCTGAAGTAAATGGTTTTATCAACTAGGGCCAGTGGTGATACAGACATCATAAAACGGCGACCGAGCTAGACGTCCCTTTTACATTCTTTCTGTCATTAGCAGAGAGGGCGGTTTAAGTCGCATCGAATCCACCCTCCTTGCACTTATCATAGTTCCATGGCAATACTGGTCTAAAGTAACTTGAAGCGAGCGCGGACGTAGTGGTCGACCTGGTGCAGAGATCGCGTGCCGCACACGCGCCGGTCCGTAAGCACAGGCGAAATAAACTCTACTCTTCCGGATTTCACATCGGCACGAGCTCAAGGTAAGACCACTGCCTGACCCCATGCAAAGGTACTACTGGCTTGGCAGTTGCCGACGAATGCTGTTCCATAGACTTCCCTGCCGCCTGCTTTAATTCAATAGGCCTAGAAAGGAACTTCAGCATGCCTAACTGCAAACTAAGAAACATCAAGGGTTCTGTATAGAATTTTAAAAAGACTTTTGTCGATTGCCTAATATGCTAACCTTAAAACAATTCCGCAGAATTCTGAGAATTGCATTGAGGAGTTTTGAATTTCCCCCATGGGACCCGAAGACAATTTAAATACCCCTCTGATCCACCTTTACGCCACACAGCGTCTATTTGGAGTCCTCTAGCATTTTCTCCGGGCAGAGGGATGGGTTACAATTGATGGATCGACTTCCGATAGCCAAGCAGCGGTTAACTGTCAGGCGGAAAGGCGTTTGTGGAATTAAAAAAAATAATCTTTACCCCTTATCACCCTTTTCGTCTTACCTCTCAAGGTCTACATCTATCTTGTTTTTAGATTTTTACGCACGTCCTCTGAATCACTTACGAACGATTGTCCGATTCTTTTCATATTCAAGTTCCATAATTGCCTTAAAATTCGTATCGGTTTCTTTTAACATTGCTCTTTCTAGCTAATCGAATACTTGTTACCTTTCTTGATTGACCTGATAAACACTGACTTCACCTTCCTGTGGAACGTGACTAGTAAAGTTCGTTTCACCCACAGCATGTTAAATGTGGTAACGCTTTGTAGGGCTTATCATTTCAATGAAACCAGTAGCTAACCGATTTTTTGCCTTTTAGGTGAACGCTACCTCATTAGTGCATTTCATCTCCTTAGCTTTTCTGACCAAGGTACGTCCCTCTTCGCCCCGCCCATCTACCCTGAAGTGTGTACAAAATAGACCGACACCGGTGCTGTTTCTGGTTATTTTTAGCTCTCCAAACTGACGTTTCCCGTTCTCTGGTCTGGGTTGGCCTGGAATGTTACCTCGAGCCGGCTGCGTCCAGTTGACCCGAAGTATAGCTGTTTAGAGTCTTGTGTAGCTTTTTCCAGGTGTAATCAGGGGCTCTGTTGTAGATAGGGCCACTCATGTATCTGACTTCGTTGCTGATTATAGCGCACTTGCCCTTGTAATAACTTGTTGCTCTGCCTTTCCGGCACGCGCAGTTGCCTTGTCATATTTCTATCAGCCGCGCTTGCCTTGGTAGACACGCCTTCCTTTGCTCAAAATAACGAAACAGCACAGAAAATCTACTCTAATCCTCTGTGGTCTGGTTGTTTAAATCGACGTTGTTTGAGTGGTTTTGCAGCCCTTCGTGTTGTCTGTCGACCCATCATGACATCCCAACCACGGCTGCGGCCCGTGTTTGTCGGACGTCGATCCAGTCAGTTTCCCACATTTATGAATACTTGATCATGTGGACAGAATAAAAGTAGAGGTTTCAGGGTTTTCGATCATCGTTCGCTTGTGTTTTCTCCCTAAATGTAACGCTACCGCCTCCCGAGACGGCTACGAAGAAAAGTCCCTAAAGGGGGATTTTTGGCTTTCTGGAATTCGATCTTCGAAACCGAATAGATTAGCGCTTCGAGTTCACAAGATTCGCCAACACACTAACTATCACGGGGCCGCCCACGAATAATCTCCTGCCGTATTGGGACTCGTATTTTAGGCAACAATTATTGAAAATCTTTTCGCGTCTGCGCACCACTTTTAAAACTTTCTTGTCATGTTGCAGTTTTGCTCCTCCCCACTTTAACCACCGACTCATGCCTTTTAAACCTTTGGTACTGATGTCTGGTAAAAGATTGCCCTCCGCAAATTACACCGCCAAATATGCTCTCACTGAGGACAGTAAACTCTGCATTTTGGTACGCACTGGGTATAAAATCTTGCATGTTGCACAATCTGTTACCGCGTGTTCTTCTCTCACCCTACGACGAAAGTTGTTTCATAAACTACGAGCGCATTCTTACCACCCTTTATCTTCAAATTGTTTTTTTTTACGTGAGTTGCCCCATTATCTTCTTTTCAGTGGTTCCCGATGAGTGGCCGCTCTACTGCCGCAATGTTAAACGATAACAATGGGGTGCTCGATCGAGTTCTTTCCTGCCTTATTTTTCAGCACGGTAGGGCAAGGTAATGAGGGCCTCCTCCTCCCCCCTATTACAGGGTGCCTTGTGTTAAATTCCAGGGGTTATAGTTAGAGTTGAAGTTAGTGTTAGGGTTAAGAGGGTTATGGCTAGGGTTAGAGTTAGGACGCCGGGATAGGTGTCCCCCGTAATTCAGCGCAGGGGCGCCTGTATTACGGGGATACATATTCCTGTGCCCGACCTTTTCCACACACTTGTCGAGCCCGTGCACTCGTCGGCTAGCGGGAATATTGGCTTTTCGCTTTGATCGTAATTAAACAGAGTGCATTTCGTCCCTGTCGGATAAAAGGCTAATCTGTGCTTTGTATCCCTCCTCACTGGCATTATTCTAGAAGATTTAGCAGTTCTAGCTCCCACATGTCTGTTACTTTCCTGCCAACCACTTCCTGACTGTTCGTCAGGCTTACGTTGCAGATCATTATCTTCAGTCTCCCACTGAGACCACTGGAGCCCTGCTTTCTATCAAATGACCTCTCCCTGTCGTTCCTTCTTTGCAGGCATTTACGACCTCGTAAATAATTTGGGCTCCATAGTGCCTCGAATGCTCTTCAGCCCCATTGAGGAAAGCTGTCATCTACTTTTCTCGCAATGCATTCAGCGTGAGGAGCCCGCCTACCACCAGAACGAGGTATGTGATCTTCCCAGAACCGACATCCAACCACTTTTGTCTGTCTTATGACCAACCCAGGCGACAGAATAATGACTGCTATAAGAGACCATACAACCCAATAGCAAAATAATATAAAACAGGGCGTTGAGGTGCAAGATGTCGGATGGGAGCCAGATGGGTTTAAGTTATAGATTGTTCCCTCGTTACTTCAAATTTCTGCACATCAGGTAGTTCTCTCCCCTGGAAAATGTCAGTGGCCTCTATTTAGTTATCACTTATTTTTGGAATCTGGTGGCCCAACCAACTAAATATCTTGTCGTTGGGTTCTTACTTAGATTAGAACTGTCAGCTCTGTCCAATAACGGTGTCCAACCGGATTCTATGCCAGGAAATGAAAATATGCAATGAAAGATTGTTGCCGAGCAATAAGTGTTTCAAGTTGTCCATCCTTGCGTGCCGGGCTGTGCTAGTACTGCTCCATTTAGATCCGAAAATCGCTCGCGCTCGAAGATGTTTTATGAAGCGGAACCTTGTCACGTTGCGGGTTTTCTTTGAATTTTTACAGCGGAATGCTTCTGTCCCCTTTACCGTCTGAATTCCGAAGAATGATTCACTAACCTAATTACCCAGTCCATGACTCCCCATATATTTACTGACCTACAATTCCCTTAAATTACGAAATTGGCAAATTTTGTGGCTTTCGTTTGCTGTGCTTTCGGGCTTGGAAGCACGATTAGCCTATCTTTATCCTGCCATCCCGCCAAGGACTCCATACTCGTACTTGGTGCGTCAGCAATCTGGAAAGCTCGATCCGCCTCGATTTCTTCTATGCAGTCCGAATACCGAAGACCCAATAACCACCCCCATGTCTGACCGGATTGCGTTGAGCTAGGTTTGGAATTAACATCCCCTATGACACTTCTAGGTGGGCACCGACGCCGGATCAAGGGCGACAAGACTTGACTCATGTGCTGACGATGAAGAACACTCCCAAACAAACCCAGTCAATTTCGTTCAGTAGTCTGGCATATCCTCGTGATGCCAGAACGGGTCTGAAACACTGACTATCCAAAATACCGCAATGGTAGATGACGATACTGTGACATGGCGAACATGAATTACCCTCAGATGAGTTTGCTTGCCACCGTTGTCTTGTGGTTGGTCTCTTAAGCCATAGCGCTAGCGGGGCTAATTTCAAACAAACAATCCGAGCGGCTGCTAGGGACCTGCCTGTACTCAAAATTCTTAAGAAACCCCGTGAAACTAACGTCGTCCAAAGCATCACCTCTGTATTCGTGCGTCTGGTTACTGAGCCAGGTCTACAACCGATCCCAGCGTTTTATACTCATCTCCGTACGTACCCGCTCCAACAGGCCAACTCTTGAATGGCCTCCATTACATGGAATCTTCTGCCTATTCAAGTAAAGCGAAGAATTTGTCGACTAAAACTAGTCATGTGTGGGCGGAGAATTTACTTCAAGTCCACACGCTGATTTCAAATGGGATTTAAGAAACTTTTCTCTGTCATTTATTTTTTACCCCTGTGGTCTCTCCGCTGTGGCGACGTGTTATTTCCCTGTGCAGAAGTGGGGGCTTTTCCCCAGAACTCCGTTGAAATTTTTCATGCAAGGAGAGCGGTTGCCGATGGTTTGCTTAGCTGTTTTCCCTGACTCTCAGCAGGTGTTCGGAATTTAACCCATCTGATCTGCACTTCGGCCTCCTTGTTGCACGTTCGCATACAAACACATAGCATCCCTCTATTACTGGAGAGTAACTTACAATCGTTGGTAACTCAGTATACAGCAACTGGAACGTTAAACTCATACTTCATCATAGTGCTTATCAAGCAAGTAGTGCGTATAGTAGTCTGTTTTTGCCATTGGTTGCAATCAGGTTCGGGCACAGACAACCGTTCTACGCCGCATTTCTATGTTAATTCTCCATGTTGTCCCTCCTCCGCCCTGTCTACCTTCCGTAGGGTCTCCTACTGCAGGCACTTAGCATGCTGCGGACCAGTCTCCGCTTGACCAGTCTCCTCGCCTGGGTCGGTTTCGTTTTCAGTCAAGCCTACTCACGCCTCCTTCTTTACCTCTACGGTGGAAGTTCCCTAGTCTCACAACAAACGGCCACTGAATTGTTTCGCCTCTTCTCCTTCTATCTCATCTTCCTGGCTTGGAATGGACCCACTGAGGCCTTCCTAAACGCAGCTATGAACACAGTAAGCTTGCCGTATCTTTAATGACCTTGGCGCCTGTCTTTCCTGAACGTTGACCTGCCGAGGAAAATAGACTTTCATGACCTTCAGAGTCGTCCTTCCCTCTGAACTTTCACAGCTGTGTTGGACAGTTTTCCTCGTCCTACAGTGTGGCTTAACATTGTTGAGTACATGTTGATCCGTTTTCCTTCCAGGACGAACTTAATGTGCACAATCGTCGTCTAACCGCGTTTTCATTGGTATTCCTCGCTAGCACTTGGCTTTTAGTGCCTCACTTCGGGGCCTCCGGCTTCATCTTGGCGAACTGCATTAATATGCTCGCTCGTGTTGCCTACAGGTAATTATTCGCAAAACGTCTTGTCTTATTTCTAGCCTACAATTGCTGTAGTATTTCTTTACGTTCGTCATTTTTTCACGCGCCTGCGACCATTCAGTTTTAACTTCTCGCTGTTGCAGATGTGGTTGTCTCTTTCTGAAACATATCCTGCCTTCTACTTTTATATCCCAAGCCTTCAAGTTGACCTGGAAAGTCAGTGAATAGTACTGTATGCTCGGAAGCTCGTGCTTCTCGTAAAATTAGCTGCCACATTACTGCGTACGCACGCGATAATCTGTTGTTTATTGGGGATTTCAAGTCATAGCACCTGGAAAATGTTTTCGGCTAGTTATACGGTCTTGTTGCTCAGCTCAGATGCTCGAATATCCACGAGTAAAAAACCGAAGTAAAGCTCTCCCACAGAGGTAGACGAGTTCGTGCGCAGCCCCGTGGAAATTGGATTACTGTTTTCGTCGACTAAAAACTTGGACATGCTTTGGAGCCAGTGGTATTATCTATAGCGCCTCTTCTTTTTGTTGATTTGTATACTTCCCTGGCGTTCTCCATTTGCGGAACCCGTGCTGAGGCCTCATGCGATGTGTGACAATTTCAGCTGTACGCTCACTATGTCGAAATCGCGGAAATTTCTGAAGCCTTCCTGTACTTGCATAACTTGCCGGTAAAGTAGTCCAGTGAATGAGCCACAGACACTTCTTATTTGTGGTTTTGGAAAAAGCCTGGCTGCTTGTTTTGAATATTTCATAGTGTTCTTTTCTTCTTGCATGCAGTTGTTTCTTCATCCATCGATTCATGGCTGCAGCTCAGTACAGACCAGACAGAACTCTAGATGACCACAGTTTTCATGGTTACTCTTACCCAACAATTGCGGAGCTTCGATCCTTTTCATTGCCAAGACTGCTGTTACCGTCAAAACAGCAGACCTTCGCTTTTGTTCTGGTCGTTGCCTTCACTCTGGCTTCTGAGGTATCCTGCAAGCTTATTTTTTAGTTCACTTCTGATGTTTTGATACTTTTTTTGGTTTCCTCGTCGCGACATGTGCACCACTTACCGTTATGCTCATAACGTCTTATTTCCGAACTGGCTCGGTCGCATAAGTAATTAAGATGTTCGTCAACATGTATTTCACAGTCAAGAGGATAACCTTCATCGCTATCGCTGCATAGATGGTGCATTGTACACGCATAGAAACCGACACCTACATAAAGTCTTAACTACGTCAATCAATCCTAATTAGAAAATATAGCACGAGGAGAAGCGTCGATGAGGCTGAAACCTGGGGAAATGCTAGTCAAGTAGTTGGATAGACTGGACATAATTGCCACTCTGGGAGGAGAGGTGACCAATGGCTAATAGTAAAGAGGGTGTCTCGGTAACTTTCAGTCGGTAGATACGACCGATATCGTGAAACAGGCGCATCTTCTGCTGTGTATTCGATCACATTTGTGTCCCTAAGACGGGCCACGCGGCAGATCCGCTGGATCAACACGGGGGCCAGATCGGAGTCCGACAGGCGTTATCGGAAATGCGCACCCATGACAAATTCCAACATTGGAGTGTGGTGGAAGACTCAGTTGCCTGTTCACTGAGCGCCAATTTGGATTCGTGCCGTTCGCCTATTTCTGTTGTTATAAAATCCTGGCTAGTGTCCGTTGTGAACCAAGGAGTGTGGTGGTACACCTAGTTGCGGGTTTTCGCCGCGCCAGCCACCTGCGCTCTCTCCCGCCTCCGGTCTTCTTGACTCTTTATTGACACCGGGTCCAGATGGAGGAAGGGGGAGCGCGTTAGATACATCGAAGTCTACTATCACTAAAAAGATTCACGTGCATGTCACCGTCCCTGCACTCACCCTGCTGTGGAGCTCACGATGGACAACGTCGATCACGACGACTGAACTGTCATTTGATCGCAGTACTAATTCCTTCTGTTGCTTTCAGCAGTGGTATATCGCGCGGAGTCTGTTTAACTTCTACTTGGTCGTCGAGATAACTGATTTGGAATTTCTCCACAGACTATCGGGTTTGCGTAAACTTTTTACACTTGTCGACACAGCCTTCTTTCGGCATTTTATTTGTTTTAAGGCAACTGCTGTATTAGAATCGTCAAAGCCTTCGGTCCTTGCCTCTTACTTATTCACTTTCCATGGTTTATTTTAGAAACACTTCTGCGCGGAGTTCGCTCTTTCCACTATCCTGATCCACACAACAATCGGTGCTGTTGCTCTATTAGTGGTCTTCGGGGTCATCATCTATCAAGAACATGAACTAGCCAAGTTTGCCAAACGCATCGCCGTGACCAGACGTTTCACCGGTCCTAGCCAGTAGAACGACTTCTTCTACCCCCACACCTATTTCATTTTCTTCCATTTCCGCTTTGTGGCTGTGCTGGGGCGGAGAGAAGAGGCGGCATGCAAGCCCCTTTCTCTCACCTTTTATGCCCTTTATGTCTCTGATCCATCGACAGTCCTTTTTTAAAAAAAGAGATGCGAATGTCCCCCTAACAGATTTTCCTGTATTAAGCCGGTTTCAAGGGGAAGGTGGATGAGTTAGGAAGTTAGCGTAGGAACCCGCACTAGGGCTTGTTGTTAATCTTGTCATTAAGTATGTTACACATCTGTCAGATCAGCCAACTAGGGTGATGAGCCATCTAGATTCCAAAGTTGGCAGAAGCCATAGTCCTGGTTAGTTGGGCCCTTCGCTTGGCAAGAAAGCTATTTTTCCGGCCATTTGTCTATCTGATGAGTGCGCAGGGCAGAATGTCTCTAGCCTTCGCCAGGATAGCTGGTAACATGGACCCTTTTAAGTCAGCGTGTCAGTGGAGCTTTATTCGCCCGCCTCCACATTAAACTACAAAACTGGCCCAGGTATCCGAGGAAGTAGTGACAAGCTCTTCATAAATACAATCGTGCCAGGAACTGGCTATGTCGGGGCACGTGCGCTCGCCTTCCGTGAAGGAGCTGGCCATGCCTAATATGAGATCGCATCACCGTTAAAACTACTGCAGCGAATTCTCCAAGCCACCCCTCGGAACTACAGATTCTGGTGGTGCTAACCTTTCCCTCCCCCCGAGACTATACTGTACCTCATTCCATTAACAAATTCGCCAAAATAAATCATTAGGAAAATGGAATCATCGACATGGTCAGCACTATATCTGCAAAATTTTATTGATTTTAGACGGGTAATATGATTAACTTGGATAAGGGTCCACATGGACAAGTTCGGTCGAGTCAGTGTGTGCGTAATTACCAAATTTCGATGCGATTAAGCGTGTCCTCCATGCAGTCTCCGGACCCACGCGCCGTCTTCGTTATTTCGGATTTGACAACACAGTAGAGACTACTGCACGGTAGCAGTCAAAGTCGCTGAGTGAGCGTCTGCTTGAAGGGCGCGAAGGATTGCCGCTTCACCGGCCTTTCGTCGAGCCTCTCGAGACTAAAACCAAGGCAACAAAATCAACTTTATGAGTAAGAGGTCAACAAGCGTGTTATGGCCTCTTATGACTGAAATCTTTCGAAGGTGACAAGGGCTCTTCATAACCAGGTCCTTGTCGATTTCGTTAGATGTGCCGTGGTGGGTCTGGGTAGTTGCGAGCAGGATTGAAACAGTGTTTTCTAATCTACACGGCAACGAAAAGAATACAGTATCCTGTTGTTTCGTAAACTGGTGTGGCATACAGTGCAGGTACAATCGAAAAACAGGTCTGAAATTCACCTTCTCCTCCTCTGACAGAGCCTGGCGGAAACTGCTACCCGGCGGACCCAGCGAGCATGAGGAACCGGAGGTCGGTAGGCCTGTAACGGTCGTAGCACGTCGCTGATTGGATTCCTTTGGGTTCGTTGTAGTGACTGGTATCTGAAGACACATTGAGAGCCCGTCAAACAAGGTGTTGCAAAACGTGTCATATTTGCTGTTAGCTCATCCACGAGATAATCTTTTAATGCGAAATGGGGGTAAAAAGTGAAGTGGGTGGCGTGATGGTAGATCCGGGCACTGGTCACCTCGGCTACAGCGCTTTACATACAGCGCGTTACCTAAATCCTGAAAGGTGTCGAGATTTACGAATAATTGCTAATCACGCGCAAACCGACACCAATGCGCGGACTCACTATCTATTTTAATAAATAACAACCCTAAGAGAATTAAAAACAAAACAAATGTTAAAGTTAATGTCACTTTGTCTAGAGGTACCAAGTTCTTACAAAAGCGGAAAATCCCGAGTCAAAAAATGGTTGCAACTGTGTAAACTTCCGTTTTCGGTGTGAAGGGAATCCTTCCATGCAAAACACCGAGTAAATATGACAGCACAAATAGAATAGCTGATATTACACATAACCGGCTAGCTACCTTTCGAGCTTAATTTAAATAATACGCAGAATGGCTGGCTGACGACGGCTAATAAGCCAGAAATGGCCATTCCAGTCTCCCTTGTCTTTGTCGGTAATATCATTCTGCCTATATATCGTGCGCCGCTGTGCGGCTGCTGGATGGGCTCGAGAGAGGGCCCTTAAGGCAAAACGGAACGAGTGAGTTTTGTATCCACGATCGGTGAGCGCCCCCTAACATTGTATATTCCCGATCGAAAACCGACAGGGCAACGGGCTCGTGGCCCGGTGAATAGAGGCGTTGACTTCTAAACCAACAGGTCGCGAGTTCGAGGCTCGGGTGTTCCACACTTCGGGCTTGGGTATGGCTGGCTGACGACGGCTAATAAGCCAGAAATGGCCATTCCAATCTCCCTTGTCTTTGTCGGTAATATCATTCTGCCTATATATCATGCGCCGCTGTGCGGCTGCTGGTTGGGCTCGAGAGAGGGCCCTTAAGGCACAACGGAACGAGTGAGTTCCGTATCCACGATCGGTGAGCGCCCCCTAACATTAAATAATACGATTGTGCACGACGAGAATCCCGAGGACCATACCGTAACACTGATCATTTGGTCAATCACCTGAACTTCCTCAGTGACTGTTCCTGACGATTGTTGCCCCTGAACGAAGTTAGTAGTAGGTCTGGGCACCGCTTCCTCACCAGCTGGTTGCCCTCGAGGACAGCTATGTGCCGACGTCATCGATCGTGGCCCACCCGATGGCGATGCTCTCCGGCTTGTTGGAGTTTGAGTACGTCTAGCTGGTACCGGCCTGGAGACTCTTGTTGCCGATGCTGACGGTTGATCCCGACGGCTGCGTGTGGTCGGAAATGACGGCGGTCTCGAGGCTTCCTGCCTTCGTTGTTCGGCCAACTGGCTGCGGAGGATGCTGGAGCGTGTTTGATTAAATGGTCTCTTGTTGGCTAGTTCAGTGGGTCTGCTGGTCGAGGCAGGCCTCCCAACCTTTATTAGTGTAGGCATAAAACAAATAAGCTGAGTGTGATTGTTAAACGTTAGCAGGGTGCATTAGTGTCGTTTTAGTGCGATTCACGTCATAATTGGCAGTGCCCCTATGGACGCCTAATAATAGTATTGTCAAGGGCTCAAGAAAGCTGATGAAAGTAAGCCCAACTATAGAGGCGGACAATGATCGTCGAGAAGGCAATGGTAGACCTAGTCGCCAATATGTTAGGTTAGCGCCAACCCTGAAGACTGTTTACGACTTCGACGCCGGGGAATTTTTATTCTTTAAAACCACTGAAATCATTGTCCATAGAATCTACAAGACGGACTACAAGTATATCTAACTGAAACTTTTGATCGTTTGAACTTCGAAGACCTGGAGCACGTAAACTTGGGCATACAAAAGAACTAGATAATTTTGCTAAAACGCCCGACACAGATACACGTCTGACAAGTTACCGATTAGCAAGCTAAGAGGGTTTCCGGGTGGAAAATTTCGCCTGGTCTCTCCGTGGATGACGGTACAATCTCGAGGTTACTTTTTGGCTAGTGAGCTGACCGTCTCTTTCATTATTAGGGCGGCTCTCTTTCTTAGTTTTTGTCAGCACTGGAGTGCGGTGTTTGTGGAAGCTCTGTATGGAGTCTCACATGGCCGAATAGGCTTATGCGATAATCGAATGTCCTTAGGCAATTTTGGAAGATGAAATGGGTGCGACAGTGTTAATGCAATAGATAAACGGGGTTTAGAGGTGTCCAGTTACGGACTCACATGACGGTCGTAGTAGGTCGCTTACTAACTTGCAGGTGTGGACTACGCCTAGCGTCTGTTAACTGGCACTCAATTCTCACTTGTAGCTCCCAGAAGTTAGGCTCTGTCTAGCGGCAACACCTCGGTAATCGCCCCGACCGGCGGACTAAACCAGATGATGAAATTCGTGTGCACATATCCGCACACGGTAACTCGGCTCCGCTGGCCGGATGGGTCACCGCATCGGTACCTCCGAGCCCAGACTCCGTCTGCAACACTGTAGGAGGCCGCAAGGTAAGTGAGCCTCCAGGTAAGCGAACATTGTTCCGCCGTCTTTGCTTTGCTTGTTCTTGCTTGCTTGCCCTTCGTCTGCTTGTCTGTTTGTCCTTGTTGTAAGCTGAGTGCCGATTCGTTGAATTCCTCCGTTTGCCTTTGTTTCTGCCTGTTCTTCCTTAACTGCTCTTGGTCTGCTTGATTGTGTCTGTCCTTATTGTAAGTCAAATGAGGTTCTGTTGAATTTATCTGCTCACCGTTTATATTTCAAAAACCAGTTCGCTTAGAGATGCATGGGAAAGCTCTGCTTCCCGCCATTGTACCTTTTCCCCAGCCCCCCCTTCAAGCTCTACGGCGATGTCGAAGGCAGGCCCAGGCTAACTAAGGTCGTTCTCCCGCTTAACAAAAGCCGTGGCCCTTAGTGGATTTCGGAAGCCGTCTATGACAACTGAACAGTCCTATTTAGGGAGAGTACTGCTCACGCCCGTGAAGGGATAGGGGCTAGAAAAGGTGCCCTAAACTAATGCTAAGGCTTCACGCCCTCTGCAGGCTGACCCTGGCTGCATACGCAAAACTCACGGTCGAAACAATCAACACAGTATCTCTTCTCCCTTTCCTTCCCGCTGTCCCCCTCGCCAGACCGGTAGAATGAGTCCACTCACTCTGGCAGCGTGGTATTTTCGTTCTCTTTTAGGCAATCCGAGGAGCAACCCACGGGAATGCATGATGATGTTGGTGGCTCGGGAACTGGCGTGCTACAAGGTGGACATCGCTGCACTCGGTTCTGTGAACAAGGCCAACTGGAGGAGGTGGGTGCCGGCTACACCTTCATCTGGAGCGGTCGCCCCAAGACAGAGCGACGGAACGCGGGCATTGCCTTTGCCAACGACGTCAAGGGACTACCGCTCTGTCTGTCGTAGGGCATCAATGATCGTCTGACGAGCCTCCGCATGCCTCTCCGGTGAGGTAAATTCGCCGCCATCATCAGTGTCTACGCTTCTCCGATGACAAACCCTGATACTGCAAGGGACAAATTCTACGAGGACCTGCACACCCTCCTGGCGTCTGTGCTGAAGGCGCATAAGTTGATTGTCCTTGGTGACTTCAACACCCGCGTCGGCACATATCATGCTCTCTGGATATGAGTGCTAGGTCCCCGTGGTCCTGGCGACTCCAATGACAATGGCCTACTGCTCCTGCGAACCTGCGCAGAACACAGGCTCATCCTGACCAAAACCTACCTCCGACTCCCGTCCTGAGAGAAGGCCACCTGGATGCACCCTCGGTCGTGACAGTGGCACCTGCTGGAATATGTCCCTGTCCGGAGGCGAGACGAGCGGGACGTGCTGGTGACTAAGGCGATTCCGGGTGCTGACGGGTGGGCCGAGCATCGTCTCGTCATCTCCAAGGTGCGAATTCACCTACAGCCTCGCAGGAGACCTCAAGGTAAGAGACCACCAGGTAAGCTAAATACTTCTTTGATGTCTTTGCCTGCTCCCCATCTTCATTTCAGCAGTGAGCTAACTCAACGGCTACCCAGTCTTCCGGTCGCTGCCGCCGCTGACGAGAACGCGTCCGTGGAGAACCGACGATGTCAACTGCGGACACAGTCCAGTCGACGGCCCTGGCTGTCCTCCGTCACGCACGTTACCAATATCAGGACTGGTTCAATAACAACGACGCCGTCATCAGCAACCTGCTCGTCGAGAAGAACGGTCTGCACAAAGCCTACGTCGACTACCCCACCGACGACAACAAAACAATCTTCTACCGTAGTCGCCGCCTCGTGCAACAGCGACTGCGTGAGATTCAGGACGCTTGGACGGCTCGCAGGGCTGAGGACATTCAAGTATGCGCGGACTGCAATGAATGGAAGAATTTTTTCTCCCTGATCAAGGTCGTCTGCGGTCCGCCAACCAAAGCAACTGCTCCTCTTCGTAGCGCCGACGGTATTACCCTACTCACTGAGAAGACACCATTTCTACAGCGATGGTCCGAGTACATCCGAGGCGTCCTCAACTGTCCCTCCACCATCTCCGACGCCGCCATCGCCCGTTTGCCGCAAGTGGAGACCAACATGGACCTCGACCTCCCGCCCTCTCTCCACGAAACCATCAGGGCCGTGCAGCAGCTCTCCAGCGGGAAAACGTCCGGGTTGGACACGATCCCTGCTGAGATCTACAAGCACGGTGGCTCCCAACTCATGGACCAGCTGACGGCGCTCTTCCATAAGATGCGGCGTCAAGGCGAGGTCCTGCAGGATTTCAACGACGTCACAATCGTCCACCCCTACAATCGAAAGGAGAACCGCCAAATCTGCGACAACCAATGAGGCATTTCCCTGCTGAACATCGTCGGGAAGATCTTCGCTCGCATCCTTCTCAACCACTTGAACCACCATCTGGACAAGGTCTCCTGCCGGAAGGCTAGTACGGCTTCCGCTGTCATCTTAGAACCACCGACATGATCTTCGTCGACCGCCAACTGCATAAGTATCAGAAGATGCGGCCCCACCTCTACTCTACCTTCTTGGTTCTGAAGAAAGCCTTCGATTGGTGAATCGTGAAGGGCTGTGGAAAATCATTAAATTCGGGTATCCCGAACGATTTACTCAGATTGTGCGTCAGCTCCACGATAGTATGATAGCGCGCCAACAGAGCTGTCTCAGAGGCATTCGAAGTGACCAATGATGTGAAGCAGGGCTGCGTCCTCGAGCCTACCCTCTTCAGGCTGATGTCGCCTGCCATGCCGACGGACGTCTACCGTGACGAACGCCCTGGGTTCCGTGTCACCTACAGGACGGGTGGCCAACTCCTCAACCACCGGCGAATGCACTTCCAATCATGCGTATCTATAACAACCGTCCATGAACTTCTCTTCGCTGACGATTGCGCCCTCAGCGCCGTCTCGGAAGAAGACATGCAAAGCAGCATGGACCTCTTCGCCTACGCCTACGACAACTTCGGCCTGGTCATAAACAAGGAGAAAACGGTGGTCATGCATCAACCGCCACCCGACGCTGCCTACTTCTCACCCCAACTCAACGTGAACGGCGTTCAAATGCAAGTCGTGGACTACTTCATCTACCTGGGCAGCACCCTCTTCCGCACCACCACCATCGAAGACAAAGTGGCCAGCCGGATCTCCAAAGCCAACCAAGGCTTCGGCCGTTTGAAAGCACAGTCTGGAACCGCCACGGTCTCCACTTCAGCACCAAACTGAAGATGTAAAAGGCGGTCATCCTGCGGACGCTGCTGTTTTGATCGGAGACCTGGGCAGTGTACAAGAAGTAGGCGAGGATGCTCAATTACCTCCACCTCAGCTGTCTTCGACGGATACTGAAGCTGAGATGGCAGGACCGGATCCCGGACACGGATATACTGGAGTGGACGGGAAACCTCAGCATCTACACCGTGCTGAGACAACTGCAACTGCGTTGGAGCGGCCGCCTCGTGCGGATGGACGACAAGCGACTGCCTAAACGAATTCTCTACGGTGATGTCGCCAGGGGTTCCCGCCGAAAAGGATGCCAAGACCGTCGATACAAGGAGACTCTGAAGACATCCCTGAAACATCTGCAAATTAATCCGACCAACTGGGAGGACGTCGCCTGTGTCCGACCGACCAGACGCATCCGCACATTCACCCACCGTATTGGCCTATTAAACCACATGCACATTAACGAAAATCTGCGGTAGACAATCGCCGACTAAACCACACCATCGCACCTTCCTCCACCTACATCACGCAACATCATCCACCACAATCACCCAATTGCCACCTCCTACGCAAGTCACCGTCCCTGCTCTCACCTTGCTGTGAGGAACACGGTGAACATTGTCGGCAACGACGGTCGAACTGTCGATAGATTCGTAAGAGCCCGGTTGGCTCGATGCGTGATCAAATCTGCGGTAGCAGTAAGGACAGGATGGGACTGCGGCTGTTAGGCTGGTCGTTGTGACGATGTTATTAGTGGTGACGACGCTGCTGGTGGTATAGGAGGAGGAGGGGTTGGCAGTGATGGTGATAGAGGAGTTTGCCGGTCTAGGAGGTAGGTTTTTCGTGATGACATAGCGGGGATTTCCGATTTAATGGATACCCATATAGCGAATTAAACCCGCGCGGTGCCTGAAAGTCCTCGGGCATTGTGAGCAGATGAGGTGTGTGTGACGGGTTTGTGTTTGAGCTACAGACACTGGTTTGTTGGTTGCTGTGCTGGCTGTATGGAAACCGTACGAATATCTGTTTTATCACGTTCCTGTTGTAGAACACCCAACAGATGGTTTGTCACAAAATATTAAAAAATGTTGATTACGCTGCAAGGGCTTATTCTTATACTTTACCGAATGTTCCTTACAAATAATTGTAGACATTTTAAAAGTTGTCAGAGGCTTAGTGTTGCACGTAAAACAGTGAATTATTTGTTTATTTTCCCACGATATGAACAATCGAGGATGTTATGGTGTCCATAGGAGGGGGAGAAAGCTGGTAGTATAAGATAGCTAATGAAAATACCCATGTCAATGCATAGGTAAAAGTATTTCGTTGTGCTCACAGTTTAATGCATAACGTATATTTAAGAATAGGAGACGAAACAAATCGATAGAAGCTGTTGCAAAACTCTCCCATTACACGTACGTATGCGCTGGCAGTTGATGAAGTCGCTGTGGGTGTGTCCTTCTGACTGACCGTCGGAGAGCGCGTGGGTGCAAGCGACTGGGCACGAGCGCGCTGTTCGCGCATATGCTGAGTGTGTAGGCGTCGCAGACCGAAGAGTATGTTTTTACGACATTTAGGGCAAGTGTCCG